AAGAGAAGTTGAAGCTGAGCGAGGTTGTCAGTATGATTCTATCTAAGGAGGTTAGAAGAAAATCGTCCGAATTAGATGGTTCAGGTTCCCCCCTAAGTCTTGAGCAGAGAGGCCAAAGCCGTAATAAGGGTAACCAAAATAGGAATCGGTCAAAATCAAAGAAGAAAAGGTCGAACTCGAAGGCGAGGCTTATCAAAAGAAAATATTGGAACTGCGTCCAGGAGGACCATATGTATCTTCAGTTTGTAAAGCACCAAAAAAGGATGTGAATGAGTAGGAGGCTCATATCGTGCAATATGCTTTGATCCTTGCTATGGACAGTGATTTCGGTTCATGGGTTATTGATTCGGGAGCCTCATTCTACGCCACTGCTAATATGAAGCTTCTTCAAAATTATATAGCAGGAGACTTTAGAAAAATGTAATTAGGGGATAACGGGCCTTGCAATATTGTTGGAAGAGGTGATGTGCAGATACAGATGAAGGGCTCCAAGTGGTCTCTGAAGAACGTCAGACATGTACCGAAGCTGAAGATGAATATTGTTTCGGTTGGCCAGCTTAGAGCAGAAGGCTATGTTACGACATTTATTGGGGATTTATGGAAAAATCTTCAACAGTACTATGATGGTTACCCGTGGCAACAAAATCGGAACACTCTATGTAACTTCACATGTGAGTGATACCCTCGCAATTGCAGCTGGCAAGGAGAGTGCAGATCTGTGGCAGAATAGGTTGGGACACATGAGTGAGAAGGGTATGAAAATTCTACACTCAGAGGGAAAGCTAACCTGCATCGATTCAGTGGAAATTGGTGTTTGTGAAGACTGCATCTATGGGAAGCAGAAAATGGTAAGCTTTCAGAAGAGTGGAAGACTACCTAAAGCTTACAAGCTAGAGCTTGTTCATACAGATGTATGGAGTCCAGCTAGGGTGTTTTCTCTTGGCGGTTCAACGTACTATGTCACCTTTATCGACGATCATTCGAGGAAGGTGTGGGTATACTTCATGAAACACAAGTTATAGGTATTTGGGATTTTTAAGAAGTGAAAAACCATGGTGGAGAACGAGACAGATCTGAAAGTGAAGTGTCTGAGATCAGACAATGGTGGAGAATACGAGCTGGAGGAGTTCAAAATTTCTGTGCTCTGAATGTGATTCGTTTAGAGAGGACTACTCAGGAACATTGCAACAGAACGGTGTTGCAAAGAGAATAAACAAAACATTGACAGAGCGTGCGAGAAGCATGCGTCTACATGCAGGTCTACCTAAGATATTTTGAGCGGACGCGATGCATACAACAACCTATTTGATAAATCATGGACCATTAGTTCCATTGAACTTTGGGATTCCAGAAGAGGTTTGGAGTGGCAAGAAGGTTAATCTTTCACACTTAGGTCTTTGGTTACGTGGCATATGTTCATATCAGTGACCATGTCAGGGACAAGCTAGAAGCTAAGTTATAGAAGTGTACATTCATTGGATACGACATTGATGAGTTCAGATATCGTCTTTGAGATGAGAAGAACATGAAAATTATCAGGAGCAGAGATGTCATATTCAATGAAGAGGTAATGTACAAGGACATGAACAATACCAACGTTAGCCAAAGCAGTAGGAGCAGCACTATGGATGCAGGCGAATCCAGTACATGGATTTAGAGGAACTTCCAGATGGGGGAGACAGTGTCAGTTCTGATCGAATAACGGATGAGGCTCTAGGTGCAGAGACGACTACCCAGGGCGAGAAGCTTAGGAAGTCATTCATGGTACCCAAACCGAATC